CCGTTGTCGTGGTGATCGTTGTGATGGTGGTCTACACCAGTGCACATGGCACCTCGTCATAAAGACACGTGCCATCATCAACCGCGTGTTCCAGCACCCACGCACCGCTATTGATGAATCCGTGAAGAGATGTCGAACGCGTCCGGGCATATGGCTGGTAACTCAATAAACTAAGCGCAAGCAGCACGAGGATGGGCAATTCACGAAAATTAATTCGTAAAAATAAAAAATTCCCCCCACTTACAAAATGAAATCGTGTTGTTGGTGTTGTTTCAGCGAGAGAGGGAGTGGAGTTAACAGCGACAGAGGGGGGGAGATGGCAGCGGCGATTACCACGCGAGACGCCTCTCAACTCGCAAAGCGAGACAATTTGAAGAGGAGTCTCGATTTGAAGGCAATGAGAGCGAAGTACCTTCTGCGTGGCAGCTCGCTTTTACTCAGAAGCCCGCGCAGGGTCTCCTGGGGAATCACCACAATCTCTCTCTCCGCTCTGGAATCGTGTGATGTCTTCAGAATGAAAACTTTGGTTTGATATTGAAAGGAATCGCTTCGAAGATTCACGGAATTCTCACGGCGCCATCCGTCAACGTCCACATGTGATGTGCAGCTACGAGTCAGCGCCATCACTCGCGCGCCGTGATCTCCGCGCTGACGAAGGTTCGCCGAAGGGGGCCTCTCTCGCCCACCACACTGGTGAGTGAACATTGTTGATGGGGGGGGGGTGACAGTAAGGGCGCCTCTGCGGCGAGATGTTAACTACCTAGTCAGCAGGAAGTCGTGGGTTCGATGCCGAACCTGACGACGTCTGTATAGCTGAAGTTTGCGTGTCTCTCCCCGCGGTCACGTTAATTTTTTTTCTCCGAGTCCTCCGGTATTCCCCTCCACAATTAGAAGCATGCCTTCAGAGCGTTTGGCTGCTGTGAATTTCGACATGATATAAGCCACTTCGTTGAGCTATCATTCGTGATTGCCAGGTGGCTTCTGAAACAGCTATATAGCTCAGTGGGCCTTACCTGGTACAATAAAATAAAGTTAAGTTTTAGTTCACACCTCGATCGTCACTGATGCTAGCCGTGACCGATGATTCTAGCTCGGGTGACCTGCTGCGCTATTGCACTGCCAACTCCGCGTCACCGACTGCGTCGTGCGGGCCGGGAGCGCAACTCCGGCACTCAGAGCGTGGCGACTCCCCCCACCCGTGGACGACCCCAACGCTCCTGGCGACTCCGTGGGCAGTGCGGGTGCCGTGCGACCCCGAACCTCGCGGAGCCGCCGCCGTCTCCTCCACCAATGACCGCCGTGGCACTGGCACTCGGTCCTTGTTACAGCCCTGAGCCAGTGGTGGAAATTCAACATTCACGTGACGGGGGCGAGTCCATCCACAGGACAACCGCTGTTTGACTTGCCCACAAAATGGATAACCATGTTGATCGACCTCGGAGCGCTAATGAGTTAAGTCAACCCCCGAACCAGAATGCGAACTCGTAACTTTCGCTCTACCGCCAAGCCACATATCTCATTGTGACATGAACCTCGCCGGAACGATCTCGCTGGAAGTCCGGTCAAGTCGGGCTCAGTGGTTACCTGCGCACGGGCGACAATACCAACCCGGTCGCCTGCGTTCGATTTCTGGCCATGGCTAAAAACAACGGCGAGTGATACCTGACTCCGGTGTAGCCGCGGCTCCCTCACCCCCACCCCATCCCCAACGCCCCTGCCCTCTCCGCGGGGTTCTCACCTTGGTAAGCGGGTTCGTACCTGATTTTAATACACACGACACCTGGCAGGGCCACACGTGACCATTTACGTGTCGCAGGTTGACTGGTGCGGCGGTGGTGCACGTGGTGCGATCCCCTGCCGACAATCACCGGGTCCGATGACAAGCTTGGGTGGACGGCCACCATCGTGCACAACAGGTGCTATAGGCTGCGGTGGGGCGATGCTGTGGGGAGCCAGAGGGCAGTGCAGCAGTACCCACTGTTGGAAGCGTACTATGCTCCGACGTCCTTCGGCAACCCGCACTCACCGGCGCGTTGGGCGAGGCGTGTTCAAGTAACCCCCACAAGCCACACGGCGCGTGGGAGGCCCCTTATCCAGCGGCGGCGGATCGAGAAAGCTCTGCGCCGGTGCGACGCCGCCGCAGTCTCTGCAGCCCGCGCGAGTGCAGCGCTGTTCCTCGACGTGTCGCGAGAGCCCCAACGTTTAGCCGCAGGACAAAGCCGCCACGTTTAGCCTCAACGGACTGTTGGGGCAAGTGCAGTCGGCGAGCAACTCTGAGGACCGTGCCGGCACGCCTTTGCCTCGCCAGCGCTAACGTTTACACGACCCGCATCAGGTAATCATTGTTTGAGGCCGAGTCGACCTAGGGGAGGCCCGGGTCTGGTACACGCGATCGCCACGAGTGTTGGCCGTGGGTGGAAACTGAACCCGGGTCGCCGACCCGCAGCACTGGCGCTCACCACAGGAACGCGCACACCCCAGACGCGACACAACACAAAGACGCGCACATCCCCCCGTGTGTAGCCGACACAGGTTGTTTGAGCAATGAAGTTCGGTGCGGATGTTTACACACCGAACCAGATGTTCATTTAAGGCCGACTCGAATCTTGGGGAGGCTGCTCAGGACCGGGGTTCAAATGTTCCTCGCCGATTCTGGCAGTGAGCGGGAATCACCCGGGTCGCCGGGTTCGTAGCGCAGTGCAGCGCTAAACCACTGCGCCACCGCTCCACCCAAGGCACACATCCACACACAAAGGCCACGGCACACAGACATTCACCGGAGCTGGCTCGCCCACCCATCACGCTCACAGCGATAATAATCACAAGGAGGAATCTAATCGGAGGGCAACACGCAGAAACCCGGAGACGAATCCACGCGACCACCCTATCAGAGCCCCCCCCCCACATCGCCCGCTTGATCCCATATCGGACCTCAACCCTACCGAACCCATACTTCACCAAAGCAGTACCTGTTGCACTCGAATGCGAACAACCCTCGTTCGTAGAAACTGAACCGAAATCAAATTGTTTAGCAGATAAAGTCCCCACTGCGCTTATTAGCACTTTTTCAGACGTAGCCTGGCCACGCGTGATAACTCATCATCGCAGTGGCTCAAAGCAGCAGCATCACACGTGGGGTTAATTTAAAGGCGCAGCCAGATAATAAACGCGTGTTGAGTCTAAATGAAGAGGGAGGGGGGGGGACAATCCAAGCAAACACCCCGAGGAGAGAGAACTCGCAAACTCCCAATGCAACCGGCACCGCCAAGTTCCGGGGCTGGAACCAACGGGGGGGGGGGGGGGGGCTGGTGCGTAGCAGGCGAGGGAGATCCCCCATCTCGTCTCGCGACCGCCAGTGCCGCAGTGGAAGATATCGTCTCGTGTTTACAGTCTTCGTGTAAACGGTGAGATCGTGATTCGAAGCAGCTGTTTGAGACGTTGGCGTTTAACGAAGCTCGCGGTGGTTGCGGCTAGACGAGGCTGGGGAAGATCACGTGGCTCGACTCTCCGAGGGGGTTGGAGTTTTACTTCGTTTCTCGAGTTGCTCGTTGCGTTATATTCTTTGGGGTGTTTAACCGATTGCCGCCTTCACAAAGCCAACGCGTCTGGTTCACCGAACAGCGCCTTACAACATACATGGACAATGTGCTGGCGTTTCTGGGTGTAAGCCCTTCTTCTTCAGAGCTACACGAGAGCGCGAACAGATGAAGTTGACTGTTGGCGTGACAAACGCTGTGCGCCACTTGCTGATGTAAGAGTTTTAAAGCGCTGCGGAAGTCATGATGCTGCTGATGCTGATATTTAAAGCACGTCTCGCGACAACAGCTGATGCGGTGTGTTGTGTTGATCAACCCGCTCCCCTCACTCACCCTGCATGCCTCACTCACTCCACTCACCCCACTCACCTAGCTCACCCAGCTCACCCCACTCACCCCACTCACCTAGCTCACCTCACTCACCTAGCTCACCCCACTCACCCCACTCACCTAGCTCACCCCACTCACCCTACTCACCTAGCTCACCCCACTCACCTAGCTCACCCCACTCACCTAGCTCACCCTACTCACCCCACTTACCCCATTCACCCCGACTCACCTAGCTCACCCCACTCACCCCGCTCACCTCGCTCACCTCGCTCACCTCGCTCACCCCACTCACCCCACTCACCTAGCTCACCCCACTCACCTAGCTCACCCCACTCACCTCACTCACCCTGCATGCCTCACCCGCTCCACTCACCCAGCTCGCCTAGCTCACCCCACTCACCTCGCTCACCCCACTCACCCCGCTCACCCCACTCACCCCACTCACCCTACTCACCCCACTCACCTAGCTCACCCCACTGACCCCACTCACGCCGCTCACCCCACTGACCCCACTCACCCCGCTCACCCCATTCACCCCACTGATCTAGCTCACCCTACTCACCCCACTTACCCCATTCACCCCGCTCACCCTGTACAGTTCGCTCACCTCACTGACCCCACTCACCCCGCTCACCTCATTCACCCCACTGACCCCACTTTACCCCGCTTACCCCATTCACCCCGACTCACCTAGCTCACCCAGCTCATACTGCATACCTCACTCACCCCGCACACTTTAGTTGGCACTGGCGAGTGTAGAGAGGCAGTCACACACACACTACAGTCACAAGACAAAGATCCCCCGTATAGCCTTAACAGACTGTTGGGGCAAGTGCTGTTAGCGAGCACCTATGAAGGACGGAGCAGCACACGAGGGGGTAGATGGCCAGCACCACGCCCGGGCCGTCTTTGTCTCCCTCCTGGTGATTTCTCCCACTGCACAAGGTACTCATTTGAGTCGCACGCACGCCACGGGGTAAAGGAGTCCCGTCCCCCCCTCTCCCCGAGTCCTACAAAAGACCCCCCCCACCGCCCCCCCCACAGCCCCCCACCCCTCCCCACCACTGCACGAGGTCGCCCCGAGTCTCTCGGAGTCCCCTTCGCCTCCCCAACATCTCCGAGTTGTTGACCAACCTGCGAAGTGAGCTCTGGCCGAGGACGCCGAGGAGACGCAACTCCCGCAGAGCAGCAACACGAGCAGAAGGCGCCGGTGATGACGGCGATGATGCTGCTGCTGATGATGATGTTGTTGTGGATGATGTTGTTGATGATGTTGATCGGGTTCCATCGTCACCCGAGTCTTCCCTCCTCCTTGTGACGACTTCCACTCCTCAACCACAGACGTTCCAGAGTTCCAGGATTCTCTGCTCCCCTCCACCTCGTCTCCACCGCCTCGTCTCCACCACCTCGTCTCCACCACCTCGTCTCCACCACCTCGTCTCCACCACCTCGTCTCCACCACCTCGTCTCCACCACCTTGTCCTTCCCGGCGTGTCCCGCTCTGAGTTCCCTCTCTCCCCGAGTCCTCCGCTCACGGCGATCGCGTCCGCGCTTCACTCGCTGCTCCTCCTCCCCCCCGTGCTCCTCCTCCTCCCCCCCCGTGCTCCTCCTCCTCCCCCCCCGTGCTCCTCCTCCTCCTCCCCCCCCCGTGCTGCTGCTCCCAAAGTTCCCTCTCCACTCCGCGGCCTCTCTCGCGGGCGCGACCAGAGCGGCTGTGGCGAGAGACTGAAGTCGCTCCGAGTCGCTCCGAGTAGCCCCGAGTCGCTCCGAGGTTTCTTCAACTGCGGCGCCACCGACCGCGGGCCCCGCGCGATGCCGCGCGCTCTCTATCCCTAACCTCACGCTCTCTCCTCGCACTGCGCCTCTCCCCCTCGCAGCCTGATCGCTCCTCCCTCCGTCTCCCTCTGCTCTCCCCTCCCCCGTCTCCCTTCCCCCTCCCTACCTCACCCCTCCCCCGTCTCCCTTCCCCCTCCCCACCTCCATACCTCACCCTCGCCCCTCCCCCCCCACTCTTCTTCCCGCACCTGCATACCTCAACCTCTCCCCTCCCCCGTCTCCCTCCCCCCCTCCCTACCTCCCCCCTCCCTACCTCCCCCCTCCCTACCTCCCCCTCACCCCTCCCCCGTCTCCCCCCCTCCCTACCTCACCCTCACCCCGCCTTTCTCCCCCTCCTCACCTTTGCCCCTCCTCCCACTCTCCTTCCCTACCGCCTAACCTCACCGCCCCCTCTCCCACCGCTCTCGACCGCTGTGCGCACGTTGCCTGTGCGCTCGCTGCGGGCGAAGTCACGTGGCTCAGCCCCTCGACTTTCTAAATGATGAGTTTGATCCGGGTACAGGGAGGGAGGCAGAGAGACACGCGGTGCCAACAGGAGGCCCCTGTGCACCGGAACCCACAGTGGCACGGACATCGATTAACATCTCGCTGGCCAGAGATGCGCCTCCATGCAGGACCACCAGAAGACACGAGACGCCTCAAGACATCCAGAACATCCTCGCTGAGTCTCAATAATCATTTCAAGACGCTCGGCCTTTTCCGATTCGCGCGCGTTCGAGTGGGAGACGCTAACACCTCAAACTGCGCGCTTCTAAGTTAACATCCAATTACAGGTGGGCGTCTTGTTCACCTGATCCTATCGTGATCCGACAACCCCCGATTCCCACGTCGCTGTGGTTCAAGCGTGCGTCGTCACTGCAAATGAAATGGTTTAAATGATTGATGATTGACAGCTGTCAACCGCTGCCTCCCTCCACCAACTTCCTCCACACACCATACCGATTTGTAGGGGTTGCTTGACCATACTTCACCACGCTAGACGGCACGGTTTTGTTAGGGCGAGGGCTGAACCGGATCGGCTATCGTTTGGCACCCACCACTGCGCCACCGCTCCGCCCACGAAAGCCTGAAACTAGACATTGGAATGCAGTCGCCGATTGAAATGGTCGACTCTCTCTCTCTGCACGTGTCACACTGCACGCGTGTCCCTCGATGGGAGTCCGTACATCTGCGTGTCCGTGTACGCTGAGCCAGAGACGTGAATTCCATTTCCGGCCACGGCCAACATCATCAATGGCGAATGATATCGCAACCTGCCTCGCCTTCTACTGAGTCGACTGCATCTTAGAATGAGCACACAGCAGCTACCTGGCGCGGCGTGTAAACATCAGCAGTCAGCACTTGGGGGACAAAGGCGGTCGGATGTACTTCAGGCCACCCCCTCGGTGTGTCGTCTCTGCCATAACACATGCTCGCGAACTGCACTTGCCACAAACGTCTGTTGAAGGCTATACGGGGGACCTTTGTCTGTGTGTCAAGCGGCGGCGAGGCGAGCTACGCGGGGTTTGTTCGCGTTGTACCGCGTGTTGTTCGGTTACGATGTCCGACGTTTCGCTCCACGTGCCACCGGGAGTTTATGAAGCAACTGGATTCGGGACCCCCCCCACCCACCACCTTTCCAAAACAAACAAACCGGGGAGACTTCTCCCCCATCTTTGATGTTTGGCAGTCGCAGCGATTTCGACGCGCGCCACTCAATCCGCTCGCGGCATACGCCCCCTCCTGTCGACTCCACACAGCCGAGGCTGCAGCCACGGGGAACGTACGGGCAGACGAGTGTGTGTGTGTACAAGTAGCTGGTGTGGTATGTATGTGGGGAGCGGTGGTATAGTGGTTAGCGCGCTGCGCTGCGAACCTGGCGACCCGGCTTCGATTCCGGCTCACGGCCAACACCAGTGAGGATTATTTGAACCGGTCCTGGGCCTCCCGTAGGTCGACTCAGCCTCAAATTAGTACCTGGTGAGGTGTGTGAACGTCGCCACTGGGGAGACAAAGGCGGCCGGGCGTGGTGCTGGCCACCCGCCCCTTCGTGTGCCATGCTGACATTCGTAGGTGCTCACTAACAGCACTTGCCCCAACAGTCTGTTCAGGCTATACGGGGATCTTTGTTGGGGCGTTATGTATGTTGAACTGTTTTCGCACCGTACGTGGCCAACCGTGCTAATCAGAGGTGCGATATGTAAACATCAGCACTGGGAAGACAAAGGCGGCCTGGCGTGATTGTGGCCACCCGCTCCCTCGTGTGCCACAGTGCCTTGCTGTATAGGTGCTACTCGCTAACATCACTTGCCCCAACAGCTTAAGGATATCCGGGGGTTTTCGGTTTTTTTAGCCATGCGTGGGGAGCGGTGGCGCAGCGATCAATGCCGCGCTACGAATCAGGCGCCCCGAGTTCGATTCCCGATAATGGTTGCATTGGTGACGAATATCTCAAATGGTCCTGGGCCTCCCCTAGGCCGATTCAACCTGAAATGAGTACCTGGAGCGGTTTGTAAACATCAGCATTGGGGAGACGAAGGCGGCCGGGAGTAATCGTGTCCACACCACACCCTTGATGGGTATAACTCGCTCACAACACTGTCGCCAACAGCGTGCGCAGGCGACACTGGGGGCCCGTGGACATGCGTGTGTCTGCCTCATTGGCGTCGGAGTGCGAGAGGACCCGGGTTCAATTCCCGGACGGGTCCAACTTTCGTGGGGAGCGGTAGCGCAGTGGCGAGCGTACGGCCACCGTGACGAACACTGCGTTGGTCGGAGAGCCTTGATCCAGCAGTGAACAGAACATGAGCTGACAATTATTAATTTGTATTCGAATTAAGCGTTGTCAATTCAAACACCCGATGGTACGGATACAATTATACACCGCATATTAAATCCCACAAAATCCCATAAAATCCCTCTCATACCAATGACAAACATTTACTCCGCATTAATTTTCCAATGAATGCGATTAAGGAGGCGTTGAATAATGATACACATCGTCCGCTCTGTACAAGTGGCGTGAAAGCGGCGCTGCTCACGGGTACCCGGTGTGTGCGCCTCTTCATGTCTCCGTGTGTGTGTGTCTGCGCGACTCTCTGGTGGGGAGCGGTGGTGTAGTGGTTAGCGCGCTGCGCTATGAACTCGGCGACCCGGGTTCGATTCCCGCTCACGGACAACACCAGTGACGATTATCTGAACTGGTCCCGGGCCTCCCCTAGGCCGACTCAGCCTAAAATGATCACCCGGTGCGGTGTGTAAACATTACCACTGGGGAAACAAAGGCGGTCGGGCATGGTGCTGGCCACCCACCCACTCGTGTACCGTTCCGGCTTTTAAACGTGCTCGCTAACAGCACTTGCCCCTACAGTTTGTTAAGGCTACACGGGGGATCCTTGTCTTTATCTCTCTTACCACGACGTCCTTTTTTCTGTCTCTCTCTCTGCGTGTCTCCGTATGTCTGTGTCTTCGTGTCTGTCTCCGTGTGACTGTCTCTGTTTGTCTGTCTCCGTGTGTCTGTCTCCGTGTGTCTGTCTCCGTGTGTCTGTCTTCGTGTCTGTCTCCGTGTGTCCATGTCTCTATAAGTCCCTGCTGGATGTCCGTGTCTCCGCGTGTCTTTCTGTGTCTCTCCCCCCCCCCTCCCGTGCGCAGTGTCTCTGTGTAGACAATCGCTCTCCGGTGACGCTGCGACATCGCGAAGCCCAGTGCCGCGTGAACCCAGACAATGCCGCGTGATTCCAGACAGTGCCGCGTGAACCCAGACAGTGCCGCGTGATTCCAGACAGTGCCGCGTGATTCCAGACAGTGCCGCGTGAACTTCGAGCGCCGATCCGTCGACGTTAAAACGCGTCCGGAGCTGCGTGAAATCAAATTTCGAGATTTTCGTGAGAAAAAACAGGCGACGAGGGCTTTTTGGGGTGGGTGGCGGGGGGAAGAGATAGGATGGGGGGGGGACATCGTGTGCAGCAGTTTCCAATTTCAAACCTCGACCCGTGCGAGTCAGATCCACAGACTCGTCCTTGAAGGGCCGCTCTTACAATCGCAGCATCACCACCAACCTGTGCGGGCCACTCTGTTGCCCGTGTCGGTGACCGGCGTTCCTCCTCCTCCACCCCGCACGCGTGTCCCACTCATCACACAGGAGGGGGGTGGGTGGGAGCCCTCTCATTCAAGCCCCTCTCTTTCTTTACAACACCTCCAACAATGTTTACCCCGTCCTGCTCCCTCACCCCGAACACGTGTCCCACACATCACTACATCCTCTGCCTGGTTACGCGCACAACGTGTCCCTGCCACGTTCTATTACCAACCTCCAAGTTATTTACCCCGTTCCTCCTCCACGCCGAACCCGGGTCTCACCCATGGGGCCGTCCATAAATGACGTCACGCACCTGGGGGGGGGGGGTCAGACATTTGTGACGATGTGTGACGAGGGGGTTGAGAAATGTGACGTCACATCAAAATGCGCAACTTTAAATATAGACAACACGTTCTACTTAATTAATTAGACTTTTTAACAAATGTTTTCTCTTACAACATCAGAGTGCAGCGCCACATTAAATACGCACTACAATGACAATAGTTTTAAGCGATTTGAAGCATCTTTTATTTTTTTTGGGGGGGGGCAGAGCTTTGTGACGTCATATTTGAGGGGGGGTCTGACTTTTTGTGACGCCGTGTAACGCTGGGGGGGGGGGGGGGGGGGGGGCAAAAAAACGTCCAAAATCGCGTGACGTCATTTATGGACGGCCCCCATCACGATCAGCCCCGCTGGTCTCAACAGGCGCTCGCTA